AGCACTAGCCCAAAGCTGAGATCATAAACCACACTCTGTCTTCCATCCAGCTCTAATTACTCAACAGTTCCATACAGTATACAGTATATATAGGTTTAAAGCTTAGAAAAACAATCTTTATTTCAGGCAACAGCAGCTCTCCCAAAGGTAATCACTTTTTTAAAATAAAGTATCTCCATCTATCTAAGATTCTATCAATATAATGCGATTGTAGGGGGACAACAACTGTCCCTTTGATACCTTTTATTGGTACCTGTTGCCTTTTATAGTAACACTCATGGAATTGTAGCTCTCTGCAATGTTTGTCCAGGTTAGCATTGACTCCTGATCGAATCTAATCTATATTCATTCCTGAATATATGTATTCATCTCTGCATGGGACGGCCCTTTGGTTAGCTGAATACATCTGCTGCCCTCATCCAATTCACTTGCACTAATTGTAGCGTTTTATATTTAATGCCTGATATACATTTCCTTAAGTTGAAGCTTCTTCATGAGCATGTCATGAGCGAGTGGGCTGTGCTCCCACTACTAACGTCCACAGCGGCCATTTTCTCTGTGTGGGTCAAACTGCAGGTCTGGACGTAACATAAACTCGCTGGGTCCTCGCTGCTGTGATTACTAATTGAGATAGCTTGCACAGGTCAATAGTTGCTTTTAATTGGCAGCGTAACTAAAATAAGCACCTCCACATGGTGTTTGGTTAATGGACTTTTCCATTTGACGCTGTTTTAATTATACTTATAGAGGACATGGACATAACAAAATTGTCTTTTCAGGTTTGACCATAGTTGTTTGGCCGTGTCATTTACACTCCCATATTAAGTTTTTACACCTATTCTTGCTTGTTTTGAATAGTGTATATTGCTCTTAGACATTGCATGGTTATTTGTATTGCATAGTTCATTCACAGGGCAACGCAATGTCCTTAACAACAATAAGATAGAAACTGTCCACTCATGGCAATTTATTGTATAATGATTACTCACAGTTACATTAAATAGAGTGAATATAAAATCACGTCAGGTGTACGCTACAAATCTTAACAGACTGTTTTAACCTGGATTTAACACATTGGTCCTAGATGAAGCCTGCCTCACCTTTCTTCAGGGGAAACTTCCCATAATGGTTTGAATTTACTTTCAGTGATGGTGGGTACATTTTCAGTGTAGGGTACTCTGCACATATTGCTATAGTTTCACTAGTATGTATTTTCGTGTGATTGTATTTGTATTTGCATATTTCCTTAGCCTTGCTCAGTTCTTGCTCCTATAAAATGAGATGTTTCTGTTACAAGGGCTGCTTCAGCTTTGCTCATAGTGGAAATGTTGAGCAAGGTCATTGTTATGTTCTCTAAGGGAAGGTTACGGAATGATGGTGTTTGTGGCCATACGATTTAGGCCAGGTTGTGAGCCGACTGAGTGACGTGAAGGTGATAACAGGTGTTACGGCTCTGTTTGTGTTCGTGATGACATGATGTTTATGGATTACTCTTCACCCCAGGGCTCCCATCGGTCCATATTGATAGCAGGGAGACATTGGGAATTGCTCCTCCGTCATTAGAGATAAAGGAAGACGGGCTGGTGCGACTTGGTTTTGTTGTCCACCAAAAGGGGCGCAGCTAAAGGATGGGTGCGTAGTACATGTTCTCTTCTGATTGGAATAGTTGGACATTGATTATTATAGGAGTTTTTCCATGCTTGGAGTACTTGCACTTTACTTGATTTGTCAAAATAAAAGACGCACTTTGTACATAAATCTAAAGCATGATTTTCCTGAGTTCCATTGAATAACTATATTTAATTCTCTTGTACAATATAAACATTTGTACAAAACTTTCTGAGCTCTTATTTCCCTAACTAGCCCTGTGAGCTGAGCCATTTTTATCTATTCCCTCCAGGCCTGAATTGTTCAGAGGGGACAAATGCTCAGGCTCTGCGATGTCTTCTCTCTCTGTCAATGTTCAGACTGCTTTTCTAAAGATGTCCTTCCAATACACTCTTTATGAAAAAGGTCTGAAAATTAGGAAGTGCATCCTAATACGTCATTCTGGTCTATCGGTCTCGTGGGTACGGTCTGGTCTGGTTTTTTGTCTCAAGGCTAAACATTTATACATAGGCCTTTCATGCACAACACCTTTATGAGAATAACACTTGATGGTTTATTCATTTGTATTATACATGTCATGGTCTTGGAGACATGATTATATATATTGAATTTCATTTTTTCATATGATGTTGATACATGGATGAACAACTGGATAATTATGTGTATCTAACTGTGTGCTGCTTTTCTGTGAAATTTGCAACCAACATCATCCCATTTGTAGATATGAAGGGGAAAGTATGTATGTATAGTATCTTTTATTCTATAATTGCAGACCTTTTCACTGTCACAGAGTGCTCTCAATAGCGGTTGTACAGTTGTGGGCATTTGTCTCTCACTCCACACAGTGATGGGTGCGGGGTCGTCAAGTTCAAGGTGGATGATAGAGTCTTTATAGCTTATGCCATTCGGTTGATTGGTGCATCCAACAACTAGTTATTCTTATGTCTTGTCATAGTTATGATAATTAATTCATACTTGGGAGGGACAGTGTAACTATCAAGTTCTAGATTGTCATATATACATAGAACACACAGGGAATTAAGCACTTGTATATGTAATCTGATTATGGTGTGTGGTCTGAGTGGCCGTGTTTTGACGACTGACATTGTCTAAAAGTGCTGAGGGAAAGTGGCGGGATCTGTCTTTGGTATGTGGGCTGTGTGATTTTTTATCTTTTGCAAGTGTTTGAGATTGCATTGTTATCCGTTCATTCGTTTTGGTTTTACTATTAATTGATGCCTTTATAAGTGGATTTTTTTTTACTTATAAATTTTTACGCCCAACTTTGGGGCCTATGGATTTTTTATCTTCTGCAATAATTATTGTGCTGAAATACAATAAATAGTATATCATGGTGCGTGATGAGTTTATATAAGATGAGGAATCCCCACAGCGCTGGCATTAGAATAACTGTCACTCCTACCTATTAGGATTTATAGCTAGAGTGGGTCATTAGGTTGATGCTACAGGCATCCAGCACATTGATGGCTATAATTTTGAGTCATCGTAGATCCGCTCCGCTTGGGTCCTTGAGGGTCTGGACGTTGCCGCAGCTGGGCCTCTGTATAGAATAGATATTATATGTATTGTTCCTCCTGTGGCTTTCAAGGCCTGTTACGTCGATTTGCAATAAACAAATTCACTTGGTGTCTTTGTCTATGGATGACAATAACCTTTAGTTTGTACCCATTAATTGTAGCACCATTCGCTAACAATTGGCGTTCTATTCAGATTTCCACCCACACATTTCTTTGGGCTTACAGTCTCATACCTGCCTAATATGGCAGAAGATAACACACTGGGACTCTTATACAAGTAAGATTTTCGCTTTCAGTCTCGGAGGGTGCTCATTCATCCAATCGTCTTGGAGTGTTTGTACCCATATTGCTACATGTCCATGTCTTTTGTGCATTTGTCGATGTAGAGAGTAGGCATTGTATCCGGTGCCCGCGGATTGTAAGTCTTTATACTGGGTTGGTGGAAATGGACAGAGATGGTGGTTTGTCATTGGAAATTGACAATATATAGGTATATAACTGCGTGTTGTAAAGTTGTTTGCTTTTTTGTCTATGTATTGTAACAGTTGAATGACTGGGAAATTGATTGATTCTTGCATGTTGTAGGCTCTTTGCGGGACAAGTGAGTCTGTTTACCATACCTTTTTTGTGTATATTTCGCGGTTTGACTGTATTGAGTTGGTCGTTTGTCTGTTTTTATTCTTATGTGTATTTATGGAGGGATTTCCCTCAATTATTTTATGAAAGATCCACACCTCTCCACGTGGTGATATCCATACAACTATATTCACCGAGATGGTATTGTCTTATTGGGAGGTACCCAATCAGCCGGAAGTTGTAATAATCCTCCATTTTACTTTTTATCCATATACACTTGTTTCTTATCAAGGTTCATTTCTTTATTTGTATTTTACATATGCTTTTTTGATTTGTTCTGAGTAAACACTGTAAGTTGATACATATGGTTTTCAAGTACTGCACTTAATTATCCTTGGAGGACTCCTGAGCATGTGGCAGAGAGGTGTACCCTTTTTGGAGAGCAAGTGCCTGACAAAGACACCAGCTACCTTGAGCTGTGGACATGTATGAATGCAGGCTGCGAAGGACACTGCTGGAATTGATATTGGACTTTCAGCATATTTCTATTTTCCTTCAATATGTTCACATATTTGGTCCTTTCCTAGAATTTGTGCTCACTTTTTCTCTTTTGCATGTCTGGACAGGGTGTGTAATTGTGTAATTTATTTGTTGTAGATTCTAATTTATGCTAGTTTTTGTTTAATACCGTTTATAAAAATTAGTGTAATTTTTGCTCCATCATTCACATACATGGTGGGCAGTACATGTTGTTTTGTGGGTTTTAGATTAAGTGATTTGGCTCTCTCTCTACTTTTTTCTAAAAGTATTATTCTTAACCTTGATGTCCATTTTGTAATTAATTTGATGCATATAATCACATTGTTAATGGTTATTATGTGTCTTGCTTGTTTCTGGTGCGTACGTTAACAATTGCATTGTCAGGTGGAAGCGAGCTGGCGTACATTGGAGGTGGTTGCATCCACTTAACCATTTTCAATAGCCTCGGGCTTATATTTTGGTGCTTGCTGCTAAGTGCTTATCGTGATACAGCCAACATTATCTTAGAGTTTTCGTACTTTACTATGAGTGGGATC